AGAGCTCTATCACATGTAATGGGGACCTGGGAAGACAAAAGCCATCACTCCAAATGTCTCCCTTTTCCCTCTCTATGTTTCCCCAACTCCATGTGCTGAGTATGATGCTATATGGTCTGGGATATCCCTTGGGTCAACCCTCTCACTGGTGGGGTGGGGGGGGAAGAGCAGAAAAGTCTTGGCTCTGTGTGAGCCCTGCACGGCCATAAGGAAAACATCCCTGTGTTACCAACACCGTTTGCAACACAAATCCAAAACACAGCCCTGTATCAGCTACTCTGAAAAAAACTAACTCTACCTCAGCCCAAACGAGCACATTCTCCCCCCTTATTCCTTACCATTTATTTCATGCTCAGCTCTCACACTATCCAATACATTCTTGTTTACCACCACCCCCTTCCCATCCCTTGATTCAATATACAGATACCATTCCCTTAGTCTACGGACCATGTCTGTGAAAGCTGTGTAAAATGCCCATAAATGTCCACAAAACATCCACTGAGTTCATTTAGTCTGTGGCTTTGGACTCCATCCATTACGGTGGTCAGTCAGGAAAGGAAAGGTGGTGTGTTCAAAGGAGTTGTTGGGCACTGTACTGGTTCAGAGGTAAACCAGCAGGGAAATTGAACTCAGTTCAAAAGAGAGATTGTAAGTCAGAATAACAATTTAATAAAATAATGCAATAAGTACGATCGTACAGAGAAACAATTGGTTTTAACCCACAAAACCCAAATGTATAACCCAGCACCCTGAGGCATGAACAGAGTGGTGTTCTTTGGGCCCCCTGAGTCCAAAGTAAAAGGAGAGGGGAAAACCTGTTGGTGAGAGTGCTGTTGCAGTCTGGTCAAGAGTGATGATTGCAGTCCGGTCGAGAGTGATGGTTGTAGTCTGGTTGAAAAGTGGTGGTTGCAGTCCAGTTGAGAGTGGTGGTCTGCAGTCTGGTTGAGAGTGGTGATCTGCAGTCTTCTTCTGGATCCCACGAGTGGTTCCAAAAGTTCCAAGACTCCAAGATTATATATTCTCCAGTTCAGGCAGGAATGCTCAGTACTTCCCTCAGGGTGAGGAGTTTCACAAAAGAGTGTGAGAACAGGGAGGCACCCTCCTATCTTGCAGGCCTCTTAATACCTAGTTTATAGCCTGAGGAGTCAGGCTGCTCTGGGCAGAAGGTGTAAATAGTCTATTGATACCAGTTTCGGGGAAATGGCATGGAAGGTTATAGAATACACAGTTTTGGGTTACACCGATACAGTGATGAACTGGTCCTAGCTGTTCTAACTAGGACAGGCACCAAAGCCAACTCAGGTCTGATC